ACACAGTACTAAGAATTCTCTTTGTCTTATTATGATTCAAAAAGGTTTAGATTTACTGTAACGAACATACTTGTTATTCACTGTATTAGTTCGATATTTATAAACACTACGTAATAATTCATTTAAAAAAATGTATATGTGAGAAATACAAATGATTAATAAATTATTAGAAGAAACAAAATCTAACGCATTTCACTTGTTTGTGTGTTAGTCACAACGTCCTTCAGCGGTTTAGTGAGCGTTACATGTGACGCTGTAGCGACATGCTGAGGCTATAAAATTTTTTGAACGTATGCAGTAATATATTATCAATGTAAACGAACGAAATGCACTTAACCGTTCATTTTTTTTTACTGAATATTTTACTTATGTTTAATGTAGTAATGAAACTACGTACTTATTGTTTAATAAAAGACACTTTATTCGTTTCACTGCAATAGTTTTTTCAATTTCACAAAATCCGTTCCCAGCGATCATTCCGACATCACTTGACAGTGTTGGATTAATAAATACATCACATTGATTTATTATTTCTACTCCTACGAAATACAAATCTTTCACTTTTAAATTTGTATCCTGATGTTTTTTCTTGATAATTTTTATAACCCTCATTATTTCACCCTGCACGATATTGTTCGGAACTTTTGTCGTAATTAAAAAAATCCATGAATTTGATACTTGTTTCCTTTTTTTCATTTCCAATTGCTTGTCGGATTCAAGCTCGTTTAGTCTATTAATATTTTGTGTTAATGGTTTATGCGGTGACTTTACGAGTTTTTTAAAAAGAGATGTATAATTTTCTCCCCAAAACGCTGAAATATCACTTAAATNTCCATTATATTATAAAACATTTATTGAGAAAAACATAAAAAAACAGAATGTCTAATACAAAAGATTTACAGTATGAGTTTTTGATCTTACAGTTTGCTTTCTTATTACTGACTAATATTAAACGTATGCAGTAATATACAATATAATTTTGTATGCGACACATTATATATACATTCGTAACGGGATAAGAATATTATTCCCGCGAAATGATTCTGACAAACAAAAATATAAACAAATGTCGCTGTCGTTGCTATCAACAAATCAACGTTTCAACACCCCTCCTCAACGGTAAGTGCATTTGTTGTATCTATAAGTCTACATTTTTCGGTAAAATAGGTTAACTTTATATTTCTTAATGGTTTCGTCATCATGTCAGCCAACATTTCATCCGTTGGGCAGTATGTAAATTTTATAATACCCATCTGATAAATATTTCTGATAAAATGGTATTTTGTGTCAATGTGCTTGGTACGGTCACTAAATCTTTCATTCACGATTTGTTTCGGGCAGCTCTGATTGTCTTCGAACATAAGTATTTTTGTTAATTTTGATTTCCCGAAATCGTTTATTAGTTTTTTCAATCACATTGCTTCCTGACGTGCTTCTGCAAGAGCTATATACTCTGTTTCAGTGGATGATAAAGAAACGCAACTTTGTTTGCGACATGCCCAGCTTATCGACGCGTCATACAGTTGAAATATACAGCCGCTGTTTGATTTTCAATCGTGTATATTTTCCGCCCAATCGGCGTCCGTGTAATCGTATAGTGTATCATTTCCTTTTGAATTTCCAAGAATCAAACATTTATGTTTAGTTCCTTTTAAATAACGCGCTATTCTTTTTGCTTCATTCCAGTCTGTCTCTGTCTCTCTCTCAGAAAATTTTAGAAGAAGATAAGGCCCCTCTGTCAGAGAATTACAAATATCGCCAACATCCGCAGCGCCTAAATGTCACTACTGTCCTGAGAAACATTTCCACAAGGATTACCCTATATTAGCCTAACGACGCCGCCAGGATGTCAACCCAGAGTCCTCGGGACACTGGAGACAGGCCGAGGGAAATCCGCAAGTCCAACACCCTCAGTAAAGGCCGGACACTCATACAACCACCATATCAGTTTGCCAGATTGCTGGATACCAAAGGTTCCACTTCGTCTAGGGGAACTGTACACCGAAGCCCTATTGGACACGGGAGCCTCCCATAATTTCGTAAGCTCTCGCTTGACTCACGATTACGACGTTGGTTCCGCTTCAACATCTTTCGCAAGTCTCGCTAATGGTACCACGATTCGCATTTTAGGTACAGTTAACTGTACACATTAACGACTGCCCGCATCGAATCCAAGCCCTCGTCGCAGAAGGACTTAAGGAAGACATAATCCTGGGTATGTCGTGGCTTCTTCGAGTAAATGCTACCTGCGACTTCGAAAGGAAGTGCATTCATTTTGGTACCGACAAACGTCAGACAATCTACTGGGTTCGAGCACCGCCCACCACTCAGACCACGCCTCATGAGCCTACTCTAACATAACATTTTCCTAAGAACTACAGCGGCAACTTTCAAAAGTTAGCTGAGGATTTCCGGGAAGTATTCGTGAAATCGGCGACGCCTACCAAAACGGCTCAACACGTAATATGTCTACGCCAAGATCAGCCTTTCTGCCTTTCACCGTATCAATACTCCGAGGGAAAGAAAAAACTGATCCAGGAGCAAGTCGAGGAAATGCTCTCTGATAATGTCATCGAGCCCAATCAGTTAACCTACAACTGCCCAGTGGTTCTCTTGCGTAAGAAAAACGGAGATTCACGATTTTGCGTAAATTTTCGTCGTTTAAATAACCTTATTCAGAACGAAGTATTGCCGCTTCCCGCTATCCCGGAGACCTTGAAAGCCATAGTTAAGCGATCAAAAAAAAAAAAACAAAAGTAAAATACTTGACTGATATATGTTTTACTGGTGAGACAGTAGTAGATAGACTATGACAGTTCGGCCTCAAAATCCCATGTATTTTCTTATGAAGGTTCAATTTCGTCCTTTTTCGACCGTTTTACCCCTTCCACTCCTACTCTGACGTCAGGACCATCAACCATCTTTGACAGCTGGCTTTGGCAGCCATCCTTGACAGCTGTCATCGCCGGCCATCTTTGATATCTGTCATTGCCGGCCATCTTTGACAGCTGTCATTTTCAGCCAGGGCTTTGCTCCTATCGTCTGCGACTTTGAATTTTCCGCTATCTTCGCTGCAGTTTGTCCTCTCGCCACCAGATCTCTCGCCGCCTTGTTGCGACATTTTTTTTTCTGAAAAAAAGCTATGAACAGAGTTCTGGTTCGATCCAAGGCAAAACAGCTTTAATGCTGCTAGACCGACGTGTTAACCAACCGAATAAACATAGTCTTCAGTGCAACGGTAACATAAAAGTAAATATTGCACACCGTTGATGTATTTACGCTAACAATACGCCGCGCGTGCGAATGTTTGCGTGTATATGTGTGTGTCTGTGTATGTGCCTGTGTGCGTGTGTGTGTGTGCCCGTGTTGTTTGTAAAGTGTGCGTACGTCTGTGTGAGAGCATCCTAAGCGACCTTGATCGAATTATAAGTACAATTGGCGGCTATCTGCTATGTATGTATGTACCAGTATGTGTATGCATGTGTACCATAAGAGTAGTTATAATTAAAGAAGCTTTTGTTTTTCGTTTACCTCATTGCTAATGAATGTAATTAATAATATTTATTGACCTTGAATGTTACATATTAAAAATTTATCGTTTAATGTGCAGAGAGCATGTGTTGGTGAAACACAGTATTTACACACTAACGTACATAGACACATGCAATGCTTTATTCATATGTGTAAGCGTATAGATATTCGTATTCAGTAACGGAATCTATAAAGAAGAGACGAATAATTCATTTGCTTTTATTAAATAAGTGTTTGATATACAACGCATGGTTAAATGACTAAACAGGTGACTTATTATTATTACTACATAAGATTAGAACAGCGAAAATAAATTAACATTACTCATATACACCTGGTATTTACCTATGTACATCAAATTTGCTTTACCTATACCACAGCCGTCTCTAATACAAGCCATGCTGAGAAATTTGGCAACAGCGCATTGCTTCGATGTGAGAGTCCTATTCTGCGAGTCTTACTTGTTATTACTACAGGTCGTTACACATGATTTTTAGACACCCATTACGATAAAAATGAATTGAATTATTAAATAACTAACATTTGTTCATCACTGATAGTATGTGACGTTATTTAAAATACACTTCAACATGTAGGTATTAAGAACAAAATAGAAAAGACAAAAGATTAGGTGTAAACATTGTTAGGTACCTACATGAATTTCATCTCGATAATTGTAATTTTATTAAAGCAAATTTCCACACCACAATTGAAGTATTGCCAAGGCGCGTTAGCTTTTTTTGGGGTTCACCAATAGCCCTGCCATCCCATTAGAAAAAACTAATTACAATTTCTAATTTACGGATTTTTGCTGTCTTACAGTTAGCTGAATTTGAATTGGAGTGGCGGGACTCNGCCTTGTTGCGACATTTTTTTTTTCTGAAAAAAAACTGTGAACAGAGTTCTGGTTCGATCCAAGGCAAAACAGCTTTAATGCTGCTAGACCGACGTGTTAACCAACCGACTAAACATAGAGTCTTCAGTGCAACGGTAACATAAAAGTAAATATTGCACACCGTTGATGTATTTACGCTAACAATACGCCGCGCGTGCGAATGTTTGCGTGTATATGTGTGTGTCTGTGTGCGTGTGTGTGTGTGTTTGTTTGTAAAGTGTGCGTGCGTCTGTGTGAGAGCATCCTAAGCGACCTTGATCGAATTATAAGTACAATTGGCGGCTATCTGCTATGTATGTATGTACCAGTATGTGTATGCATGTGTACCATGAGAGTAGTTATAATTAAAGAAGCTTTTGTTTTTCGTTTACCTCATTGCTAATGAATGTAATTAATAATATTTATTGACCTTGAATGTTACATAATAAAAATTTATCGTTTAATGTGCAGTGAGCATGTGTTGGTGAAACGCAGTATTTACACACTAACGTAGATAGACACATGCAATGCTTTATTCATATGTGTAAGCGTATAGATATTCGTATTAAGTAACGGAATCTATAAAGAAGAGACGAATAATTCATTTGCTTTTATTAAATAAGTGTTTGATATACAACGGATGGTTGACTAAACAGGTGACTTATTATTATTACCATATATGATTAGAACAGCGAAAATAAATTAACATTACTCATATACACCTGGTATTTACCTATGTACATCAAATTTGCTTTACCTATACCAAAAATTAACTTCTATTTTCCTAATATTAATGCCTATTATTACACTAATTACTTTGTTACGATAGGAAAACAAACCCGGACTGTGCCGTACAGTTTATATTAAGTATATACATATATTCAAAAACTTGAGCTTAACAGCTAAAAACAACCTATTCTAAGGATTCATCGCCGTCGTCCTTAATGAAGTAATGTCCCCAGGGAAAGGTCTCATACGATCCCTTAATTAAATACCTTTTATCGTCGTGGGGATTTAACGCGATCTTATCTTGTGTTATGGAAAAAACTGCATGTTTTTCGGATCTTATTAAATTTTGAGAAATGTATTTAGTTTTAAAATTGTCAACACATTCGACGAAGTCGTCGAGCGTAATGACCCGTTTAATAACAGACCTTTTAATACCTTTAATCTTTTTCGTCAAGCCGATTTCTGTTCTAATCGCGTTGCTATTATTTACAGTCTGTTTAACGGCGTACATTTTCGATCTCAGACCGACAAATAATTCAACTGGTACGCCGTTAAACTCGTCTTTCATCATCCCTAAAACTTTTTTATTTACCTGTGGGATGTTGTACTTGTTGTCTTGCGGATAATCGCTGGTATCAAAACGTGTATGACAGTCACGCTGTATCACTTCGTATATGTCTTTATTACGAATTTCGTATATAAGACTGTCGGTGTCGGTGTATAAGACAGAGCAGTCCTCACCAAATTCGGGCAACGTGTACTCACAATGGAAATCGTATATGGTGGTTTTAGCCAGATCCAAAATCGACATGCCAACGTATATCGGTTTATTAAAATACACCTCTGTCTTATTAAGTTCAATGGCGACCAAATTTTCGTTGAAAATAGTGGCCGCCTTAAACTCGGGCTTTGCTATAAGTGCCTCAGCCCCATAACGCCCCGTTCCATTTGCTTACCAATTTTACAACAGATCGCTTCCTAATGTTCTCCATCGTTTTACCAAATACAGCATTGTTCATAAGCTTGAACAAGTTCTTTTCGAATTCATTCGTAGCCGCCTGACGCAACGCAGTATTCATGTCAATGTAGGCTCTAAGCCAAGGAGATTGATTAAATTTTAGAGCACGATGAATTTTGGTGATGATAAGCCCGTGCTTTATCGCCTGTTTTAATGCACGATAATGTATAACGTATCGTGTCTTATCGTATAATGTTGCCAAAAGTTTACTACCGGTGTTACAATTGGGAGGAGCATTATGCTCAGGACAGAACGGTAGGTCTCGATGTAGATCGTGTAGATGCCGTGGATATGTAAGATCCACCTCGAGTAAATACCCTACATTTGAAGTGTCCGACACAGTTGTTACGTCAATTGTATTTGAATCTTGAACCCACTCGAAACCGCCGTATGGTAAATACTGACTCATGGCCCACCCATACTGATTATTGATATCGAAATATGTTAAATACTGGGTTGGTTTAGTCGAATCGTAATTTTGAAGGTACTTGTTATTAACCAAACTTTTTCTTTTCGAACATTGACTCAGACCGCCACGAATTCCGCGCTCAACAAACATAATTTGATCGATATCTGTTAAAAGTTCCAATGTCTGCCGTGTCTTAAACAACATGCAATCCCACGTATAACCTGGTAGGGTATAGTAGTGGGCGGGATCTAACCCGTATGTCTTATGACAACTGCTACGAAATTGTTCAAAAACGTCAGCCAGAAGAAGAATGTCCGTTTTCATATACAAATCAGTATATTCACCTAAAGTTTTAATATTAAATTTAGTCCAAATGTTTTGGGCGTGTGCGTATTCGTCATCAGAAATATCATTATCAGTTAATTGATTATAAAAATGTTTTTGTTCAGGTAAAGAATCGAAATTGAATTTATCGAAATTCTCCATAAAATCGTATGGGTACACTCCCTTTTTAGTTAGTAATTTAAACATATTTTCATCTAGTTCCGGAAATTGAGATCTTAAATTTTGAAATTCGGTTAAGTATGATGATAGTGTATCTAGAGCGGAACTCATGAAACGGAACGAGTCAATGAATCTAAATTTAATCAAATTTTGGTCTATATTTTTTGTGAACGAAATATATTTTTCTTTTGTAATGGGTAGAAGATCGACACGGCCTGACACATCGTTGGCGATATTTTCTAGAATAAAATGGCTGTCATACCCGCTCAAATTGTGAAAGACAACAGGTATAATTACACCATCCTTGTAATTAATATTACAAGCATTGTATGCGGCTCCTCGATAATTGTTTTCGGCTATGAAATGACAATGGTCTCTCACTTTTATATCGTCAGGGCCAAAAGGCTGTTCGCAGATGTGACAATGCGTTGCTCGTTCAAATTCAGCCTGTTATTCTGGAGTCATTCTAAAATCAAAATGACACAGATAAACCGTCTCGACATCTTCAGCAAAACAACACATCTGCTGAGCAAACCAGGACATGCAATCTTCTCCGCGATAAGATCTGTAAAAAGATAACGTGGGATCATAAGAACACTTGACGTAGTAACCAATTGCTGCGGGTACGTGGCGCTGGTACTTGTTGCCCGAGTTTACTACTTTTTCTAATACACTTTCAAGGTCAGCATAAACAATGAACGGCATCTTTTCCTTATTTTTGAAGTTTTTGAATTTCAAGTGCTTCTGTTCACCCCCACTCGGTAGTCTAATACAGCAGTCATTAACATTTTTGCAGTCCTTATAATGTTCAGACAATCTATCTTGGGAAGAGAAGTAGTGTAAACATCGATCGCAAAAATGCTTTTTGCCATCATGTTTGCTAAGTTGGGATGACAGAAGCCTCGACAAATTTTTTATCCAACAAAAATGGTATTTCATAGGAATATTAGCATCATCAAGATCATCATCTTCATACCGATCTTGTATAAAGAGCAAGTTGATATGCTTTTCCATTTTATTTTTCGTTAAATATGTAGGGAGTATGATAAAAGTGTTTTTACATTTTTTCAATCCGTAAAGGTTAATAGATAAATTATTTTGATTTTCGAAACGTGGAATTTGTCTTGTAGTCATCGGAAACTGAATACCTTTTATATTTAGAACTTTAGAATAATGAGGATAAGATGCCGTTCGGTCACTGTTTTTATGAACAGGGTACAAGGCAGAAACTACCGCCCACGCAAAGCACGCCCCATCCATATTTTTAATATTTATGCAGGCTTCTTTGATTTTAATTTGCCGCGGTAACTCTACATATGAGGATCCCAGTTGAGGTGTAAATTTGTTGATGTGGATTCCCAAGTTGAATGAAGTGAATTATCCGAACAACAAGCTGTCTCTTGTGTGATCGATAACATCCAGAACGAGATAATACAGACGGATGCTCGTACAGGTCGATACTATATTCTTCATTTTTGTCAAGATTAGTGAATCAAAGTGACGAAGGACACCGAGGACAAAGCCAAAATTTAATGAGATCAACGTTGAGACATTAAGAGAAGACGAGAAGATCGAAACACCCGGTCATGCGTTACATCGTTCTCTCGACATAAGCCCAAATGATACAATTGTCATGAGGTGGGTCATTTGGCCAACGCGTGCATGAAACATAAAATAGAGTGTTGAAAGTGTAAAAGATTAGGTCATACGAGTGAAAATTGCCGCTAAAACGCCGAAAGACGTGCGGAAAACGTGTCCTATAAAACTCTTGGTGCCGATAACAAAGCTTACTACGCGACGTGTGTAGAGAATGGGCAAAAATTTTTGGGATACGTGGACACCGGATGTGGAGGTGTCATTATTCGCCGGGATGTGGCGGACAGCTTACAACTCAAATGCGAGAAAAGTTCCGCGGTTGTTCTCGGGTACAATGAGAGTGTAACTAAAGTCGTTCAATAGCCAGTTCGCTAGAGGAAAGCGAAGACAAATGGGATAGAAACATATCCAAAATCCAATTCGCCTATAATTCGACTGTAAGTAAAGCGACCGGGAAAAGTCCCTACGAATTACTGAAGGGATATAGACCGCGCAATAAGGGTGATGCGTTCTTGGCCAACGAGGTGGTGGTAGACGTTACCGGAACAACAGGGTTAACAGAGACTATCGATGATATTCGTAACGAAGCGAGTACAAGTATTGCTAAGGAGAAAGAAAAAAGTAAGAAACGTTTTGACACAAAACGCAAAGAAGCCTCCAAGTATGAAAGGGTTCAGCTAGTATTGATCCTGAAAAATGTTGGGGCAAATGACGGAAAGAGCAAAAAGTTGCTCCCTAAGTATTACGGGCCCTTCATAATAAGAGAGGTGTTGCAACACGATAGATACTATATTGAAGACATCCCAGGCACGATGCGTGCAAACAAGTTCTACAGGGGTGTGTGTACTGTAGACAGAATGAAACCGTACCCTTGTGACGCTTTCGACGATGAAAGCGATAACGAAAGCAGAGCATCAGAGAGTATCTGAGGGACTTACTGAGCGTCCTAAATGCACTTAATGAATTGTTGAAGCAATGACGGACCGATGAAGAATTTGTCAAAAACCGATGACGCATTGGTTAAGTATCAATGACGTATTGATCAGAATTGTTAACGTAAAGAATAACCGCAAAGGTGTGGGCACTCAAACAAAAATCAAAACGAAAAGTTCGTTATAAATAGTTAATGTAATACACATGAGACCTGGAAATACAAAAATGTTTCTGTTCTTATTTCCTGAGTTCAGATGTCAGCGACGCCCGAAAAGAGAGGCCTGCGAGGACGCAGGGTGCTGTAGCATGGCCGAAACTGTAAGCGATTAAAAAAAAAAAACAAAAGTAACAATAACAAATCGAAGCGGCGTCGATGGGTCGCTGATTCATCTGTAAATATTAGTGATTAGTTGACCATGAAATAGTATTCATTGTGTTTTGATTTTAAGAAATGTAATCTAACGGTCGGGAACGCGACGGAAGGGAAGTCGTGAAATACTTGACTGATATGTTTTACTGGTGAGACAGTTTTATGTACAGCGCCTTGTAGTCAACTTAAAAAATAAAGACTTTGAACTTGGGCGAGAATTTTTCTAACAATAGCGACGTCTACGATCTTTTCGACCATCGACCTGAAGCCTGGTTGTTGACAGATACCTATGCATCCAAAGTCCCGCCCCCTTACTGCCTTCATCGCATCTGACGGAGGAAAATTCCATTTCCGAGTGATGCCGTTCGGATTAAAAGGAGCTCCCGCCACCTTCCAACGTACCATGGGCCAGGAAGTATTAGCAGAATATCTAAGGATAATTCTGTCTTGTATACTTGGATGATATTTTTGTATTCTCTCGTACCTGGGAAGAACATATCGGTCATCTTCGTCGAGTGTTCGAGAGACTGCAACAACACGGACTTTCATGCGCTCCGGAAAGATGCGTCTTCGGGGCGAGGACGTTAACCTACTTGGGACACCTGATCTCGGACAATGGAAACTCCCCGCTACCTAGTCATCTCTGAAGAATCCACGAATCGCCTGCGTCGACCACGCGGAAGGAATTAAAGAAATTTTTAGGGTTGTGTAATTGGCTCCGCGAGTACCTGCCCCGATTCGCTGACGTGTCAGCTCCTTTAACGGATCTGCTGAGTCTTAAAAGAAAATGGAAGTGGACTAACGAATGTCAACAATTCAAGCAAACAAAAACCTTAATGCAACAACCGCTCAGCTTACACCGCCCCGATTTTGATAAAACGTTCATTCTCCAAACCGAAGCCAGTAAACAGCGGGCCGCTGCCGTGCTGTATCAGGAAGGAGCCGACCACACCAAGAATATAATATCTTACGTAAGCACCCGATTCAACATTACCGTGCGAGCCTATCATAGCAATGAGCAGGAATGCCTCGCTATCGTCTGGGCCATTAAGAAGTATCGACCCTGCCTGGAGGATAAACGTTTCATCCTGAGGACCGGCAACCGGGCAATCACGTGGTTGCAGACTATGAAAGATGCGCGTGCAAAGCTAATGAGGTAGGCTCTGCTACTCCAAGAGTTTACGTTTACTTTAGAACACTGTCCCAGCTTCCAGATGCCTTATGCCGCCTGCCTGGACCAGAAGATGTA